TGATTACTATCAATTTTTATCTAAATCGATTCTTATCATAAATAATAATTATTGATTTTTATCTGATCGATTTTTATTACAAATGATAACTATCAATTTCTATCTATATTAATTTTTATCAATATTTATTATATAAATAATAATTATTGATTTATATCTATATCGATTTTTATCATATATATGATTATTATCGATTTCTAATCTATATCGATTACTTACAATAGTGGTATTACTAATTGATTAATATCTTTAGATTATAATCGATACTTATTACCCTAAAAAATTTACTGATAAAATCAAATCAAATACAGAACCCTACAAGATATTTCTAATTTGATACTTGATATAAAATCTGTTATAAATCTCATTAAAGAGTATTAGGCAAGCATAAACTTATAGCTATTTTTAATATTGATATTAAAGTTTTATACAATATTGATTATATGCATACACAGGTTTTAATAATAGATATTTCTTAAATTGATATATCACAGAAATAGATATCAAAACTTTATGATATATTAAGCTATATTTCAAAAAATTTTAAAGTTAAACAATTAAACTTTGTATCAAAAAGTTTTTTATTTTGTCTATAATTTTGTTTTATATTAAAAAACTTAGTTAATTATAATATAACAAAATAAAACCTGTATTAAATAATAAAAATATCTAAATACAAATTTTATCTTAATATAATCTATATAGCAGTTTTACTAATTTACAATATAGGTTTTATCTAGTTCTATTGTAATTTATCTTTGATGCAAAATATTTATTTTGATATTTCTACTTTTGCTTTTTTGATATATCTAAATATAACTAATAAAAAGTTAGTAAAATTATAGAAATTTTAGAATATATTTAAGTATATCAAAAATATATATACTGAAATATCAAAAATAAATACATTGCATTCCTAACTTGTTTGACTTGTATTAAAATAATTTTTGATCTGTGATTTTTAGATTATCTATATATAAATAAATAATATAAAAAGATAGAGATTTTATTAAAATCATCCTAACTGATTTGTTAAAACAACATCCTATCACGTGAAATATAGTTGTTTGTCATACAATATATATCTATTTTGACATATGCAGATACTGATGCATAAAGTAGTTAATGCGTATAACAATGAAAGTAATAAAATAAATAAAAGAACTGATCACGACAGTGATCGATCTTTTTTCTGGTTGTGCAGTTACCTAATAAAGGCTGTTCGACGCTTGTCTCGTGAATCAGTAGATAAAAACAATAAAACGGGTTAGACACGTCACTACAAATAATAGAGAAATATATATAACGAAAGTCGTACCTTGAACCAATATTGAGTAAAAAGTCAAGCCTCAAAGCGAATACAGAGTAAAACACGTTAGTTTTTTTATTCATGTATGTTTTAGTTTTCTACTAATCCTTTTCTTTATATGTCTTCACTCAAAATATAGATACGTCACGTGGGAGGAATAGAAGAGTAGTATCACGAAAGTCATACTTCCAAGTCGACATATAGCCAATGGCACTATTTAGCCGCATTAGTACATATGCCTTTTCATATCGGGGAAGAGTTGGGTATTTTTAATTTTTTTATATTTCTAACTTCTATTTTACGTAGGTTAGTAATGGCAAGGCTGTTCACATTATATTTAAGAACTCAGAACTATACCATAGGTACTATATAGATAATGGAACTGTCTGATACTGGCAACAAGATTATTGACCATGACGAAGCTTATGAAGATCAAGAAAATATTTTGCCTCATGAAGAATGTTATAATGATGTTCAGGAAAATATTCCGTCTCGTGCTGGAATAGTCAAAAGAAGACCACTTGAGACGCTTTCAATACCTGATGATGTTTTTAGGCAGGCGCAGGAATTA